TTTTTTTTGTTGATTTTTAAAATGAGATGAAAATTTTTTTTTTTTTATTTTTAAAAATGACGTAAAAAAAAAGAAAAAAGGAAGCCGTTAAAAATAAAAAAAAAAAACGTGGAATTAGATTAAAAAAAATAGACAATGCGAAGAGAATACTTATCGGAGGAATTTAGACATTTAAAAAAAAAATGTATTATCAGTAACCATTTCAGAGTTTTTATAGCGACTCGGACCTAACAGATTATTATTATTATCATTATTATTATTAATTCTTTTTTTTTATATAAATAAAGAAAAAAAGAAAAATTGTCTCGTTTTTTTTAAAACCATTGTTAATATTTTACATAAGACTGCTCTTTTTCTTTTTTTTTTAAATAACTCATTAAAAGAGTTAAAAAGATGGAAAAAATGGGGGGGAGGGAAGAACAATAACCAAAAGAATGAAAAAAAAAAAGAAAAAAGTTTAATTTGGCGTAAGAAAAAAAAAAAAAGAAAACTTTGTTGGAAAAAAAGAAAGAAGGAAAGAAAGAAAAAAAATCATAAAAATTTCGACTGATGAACCGGAGCGAATAAAAAAAAAAGAGAGAGAGAGATAGAAAGAGAGAGGGAGGGAGAGAGGGGGAGTGGGATGGGGGAGAGTGAGAGAAAGAAAAAAAATTTCGTTCTGGTGAAAAAAAAAATTCGACGTATTTTCTACAACGAATCGAACCTTTTTTTTTTTTTTGCTATAAAATCAATTTCCACCCCCCCCCCCGCTCATCATTTTTTTTTTCGAATTGAATTTGATTTTGACAAATATTTGGTGTTGTTTGATTTTAAAATACAACAAAAAAAAAAATTTCTAAAAATTACTTTCTCTTTTTTTTTAAAAAAAAAAATTTTAATTCAAATTATTACAAAAAAAAAAAAAAAAAAAAAAAAAAAGGAAAATCTGACAAAATTTTTTTTTATGGTTAGAAAGGGAAAGTAGAAGGAGGGGGTGGAGGTGGGGAAAAGAGTGACGTATAAAAAGAAAAATATTAAATATTCTATAGACACGATGATGATGCACACAGAAAACCTTTTTACTCGTTATTTATCTAAGTAAGAAAAAAAAAATCTCTCGCAAGTTTTTCTTTTTTTTTTTTTTCTTTTTTTTTTTACTTTTCCTTTTAGAAAATTCCAAGTTTTATCGAAGGAAAGAAGAAAGAAAGAAAAGAAAATTAAATTAATATTTTTATTTTTATTTATTTTATTTTATTAATTAAAAAAAAATATAATTGGAAAAAGGAAAAGAAAAAGAGAAAAAAAAAGAAAAATTTATTTTTTTTTTAAAACCACCGCCTTCTTGTAATGCATATATATTTGTTTTCAATCAAAACAAAATAATAATAAAAAAAAGATTTAGAAGGATTTTATTTTATTTTTAAATTTATATAAATTTTTTTTAAACGAAGAAAGTAAGAAATTTTTTGTTATTATTGCGAAAATTCCGCGATTAGAATTTTGTTTGTTGTCGAAACGAAAAGAAAATTTTTTTTAACGACAATCAAATCACGTGAATCTTATTTAAAATTTTTGGCGCCAAAATTTTTTTTTTATTTGGTAATGATTTGAAACCACGTGACGAATAGCGAGTTTCTCTGCGTTTCTTTTGCTAAATAATTTTTTTTTCGCTTCCAAACTGAAAATTTATTAATATAAAAATATTATTATTATCATTATTTTTTTTTTGTCGTTCACGATTGTTGTTTGTTACTTTGTCGATTTCCCACTCGAAAATATTTGTTTTATCATTATTATTATTATTATTATTATTACTTAATCGTGTCGATTTTTAAAATTTTTTTTAAGCTTTCCAAATTTTTTATTTTTATTTTTTTATTTATTTATTTATTCAGCCTTTTCTTTTTTTTTCGTTTGTTTGTTTGTTTGTTTATTTATTTATTTATTTTTTTCACTTTTTTTCAAATTTTTTTCCTTTTTTTTTTGTTTTTTTTTTTGTTTTATTTTCATTAGAATTGCCGATTGAATGTCGAATAAATGATGACGAAATATTTGGGAAAAAATTTAATAGATAATAATAATAATAATAATAATAGAAACGTTATATTGGAGGATAAAAATAATAAAAAGGATTTAGAGGAAAAAGGAATGGATTTTTGGGTCGATGGATTTATGAAAATAAATAATAAAAAAAAAATCGATAAAATCAATAAAATTAACATTCATCTTCACGGTAAGTCGACATTTTTTCTAATTTTTAATTTTACTTTTTTTTTAAAAATTTTACCATCGTTCATATCATGAAAACATGACGTGAAATTTTAAAATATTCTACTCGCGGTAAAAAAAAAAAACGTTGAAATATAATAATAATAATGATAATAAAAATTTTTTTATTATTTATATCGGAGTGAATAAAATTTAAAAGAGTTTTATTAATAAATGTCTCACGTGTATTCATTATTAATAATATTTCTTTAAAAAAATTATTAATAATATCAATTGCAATCTTTTTTTTTTATAAGAGAACATAGACGATAATAATTGTAGCAAACAAACGTTTGTTTGTTTGTTTGTCATACATTATTCCCGTTTGTTTTACATCATTCATATACATATTTACATAACAATTTTTTTTTTCGGGCGGTTTTTTTTTCTGTATAAAAATCAAAAAAATTATTTTATTTATTCGTTTATTTAATTTTTTTTTTTTAATCTTAGGGTTTTGGTTTTAGGTTGTTGTTGTTGCTGTTTGTTTGTTTGTTTCATTTCGTTTTAAAATGAATAATTTTAAATTATTTAATTTTTAATTGTTTAACTAAATGATTATAATGTTTTCTTTTTTTTTCATATTTTTATTTACCGAAAGCGGAAATTTTAATTCTTTCGTTAAATAAAAATTATTATTATTATTAATGTTTTTAATAAAATAAAAACTTAAATAAATAAATTACTTCGCGTTTTTAACCACCCGGAGAAAAAAATTTTTTTTGATAAACTTATCAAAAAGTTTTAAAAAATTAAACAAAAAAGAAAAAAAAGAAATGAAAAATTATTATTATTATTATTATTATTATTATTATTATTATTATTATTATTATTCGAAACGTTAATTTAATAGAAAATTTGTTAATAAATTATTAAAAAAGAAAAAAGAGAAAGAGAGAGAGAGAAAAAATTTTTTTTTATTTTTTAGGTCGAATAATTTTTTACAGAAACAAGAAAAAAAGTTGTAATTTTTTTAACGTTAATTATAATTGCAAATAATAATAATAATAATAATAGTAATAATAATAATAATGATTATAATAATAATGAAAAGTGGTTTTAGAATTATCGATAACAATTTAAATTTTTTTTTTGCTAAACAAATAAGAAAAAAAAATTAAATTAATGTTTTTATTTAAACATACAGCATTATATGCGGCCATTGAAAATGGACAAATCGAAAAAGCTCGAACGATTCTCGAATCGAGTGACGTAGATGTTAATAGCATTAATGGTGATGGTTTGACGCCATTGGACGTTGCCGTTTTATCAAATCAAAAATCATTAGCTAGAATGTTGGTAGCATTTGGTGCTCAAGAGGGAAATCACTGTACGTTTTTCCATTTTTCTTTTCAATATGATCATTTCCAAATAAAATAGAAAGAAAAAAGAAAAAGAAAGAAAAAAAATTGTTTTCAGTTCAATCTCCGAGTAAATTGGAAAATCATTTGAGAAATATTTCATTGGAAGCTGATAGAAAAGTTATCGAGTTAAATGGAGGTTTAATAGGATCCGATCAAAGTTTAACAACGAATTTAAACAATAACAGAAGTTCTTTCAGCATTTCTCCCCATTATCCCTCATCATCATCATCATCATCGATTTCTTGTCACGGTGGATCCGGCGGTGATTCGGAAAAGGAGCTTTTAATATGGGAAAGAAGGAGTAAAGGACTTAAAAAAATGCTTTTAGGTTTCGATCAAACTCGTAAGTTTTATTTTATTATTATTATTATTTATAAATTTTTTATTCGTTTCTAATGCATTTCCTTTTTTTTTTACCGAGTTTTATTTTATGTAATAAGCGCATTATGAAAATGTTTTTTTTTTAAAATAAAAAATTCATTTTCAGGTCCTCCCGATACGCCATTTTTAGTTGCCGTTGATGTAACGGGTACAAATTCGGTTAACGTTAGATATCAAGGACCTGAACATTTGGATTCGTTCATCTGCACAAAATATAAAAGTAAGAAAAAACAATTTTTTTTTTTTTAATTACGAATTTATTAATTAAAAAAATTTATTTCAGTTCAATGGAGTGAAAGTGAAACATTCGATATAATTTCTGGTGAGAAAGAAATAACGGATGTTAAACGACTCGAATGTCCCGTAACGGATTTAAACAAAGGAAAACGTTATTGGTTCAGAGTAAGCTGTGGAAATTTAAAAGGTTATGGAAATTATAAAGTATCAACGCCGGCAAGTGTCGTACCGTCCAGTAAGTTAATTATTATTATTATTATTATTATTATTTATAAATAAAAAAAAATCACAAAAACGTTTAATTTAATTTAATTTTTTTTATTAAGGTTGGAGAGATGAACAAAATCGCGAACCGAGATTTTCATGTAAATTACAACAACAACTCGAAGAATTATTTTCCGATATAAAAAATTTAAGGCCTGAAACAGCATCGGAAATTAAAAATTTTACGGATCAGGAAAAACAGGGAGATTCTTTTGCTCTACCGAAAAAAGCTCAAAAAAAGAAAACAATAAAACAATTATTTACGGTCGCTGGAAAATTTCAAAAACACTTGAAAAGGTTTTTTAAAAAAAATTAATTTTAATTATTATTATAATGGTAACGCAGAGAAAAACTAATAATAATAATAAATTATTTTTGACAGGGGCGTGTATTTGGTCTGCCTTTTTTATCACGATGATAAAATATTAGTTACAAATGAAGATTTTCTACCCGCCATTGAAGTTGATGAATCGTATTCTAGTTCGATAAATAACGATCTTCATTGGTTTATGAAAGTTGCTTGCACTTGGAGTGACGTCAAATCATTAAAACAAGACATGGAAAAAAATTTAACATCGACAACGAGTCACTTTAGAATAAAATTGTTACAAGCCGCTCAACAAATGCAGGTGACAAACACGTTTAACCCTTTACGCCATTTTTTTTTTTTTTTTTATGAGTACAAAACAAGACAAAAACACAAAAACAAAAATTAATTTAATTTAATTTATCTCGCAGTCGAGCCTTTGCACTCAAGATTTGGGTCAATTGTATTATAAACCAATAAGAGATGCTCAAGGTACTTTAGCTTTTTGTTCGGTTAATTCATTAAAAAGTTTAAAATCCATTTCCGTGTTAAATTTAAGATGGACTCCGATAAGTAAAATACAAAAGAAAATAATTGCGAGCGAAGAATCAAACGTCGGAGAATTATTAATGGCTTCCATACAGGTATTGACAATAATAATAATAATAAAAATAATTTTCTTTTTTCGTTCTCATCGTCGTAACGTCGTTTTTTTTTTTTTTTCTGGTAATTGTTTCAGTCTCAAATAACTTATCATCAAGTAACTAATTTAAAACTTAGCAAAGGTTTATACCTTGGATACCTTAAAATGAAAAGTTCCGTGGATTTAATACAAATAATTGTACCGACGAAAACTCCCAACGTGTTACCGCATTGTAAAATAAGAAATAATCCTCACGTATCATCGTACGTATTTTTATTATTATTATTATCATTATTATTATTTTATGTCATTTTATTGATTCTTTAGATGGGTTAACATTTTGACGTCATAGATAATGATAAAACAAAGTTAAATATGATGAAAATTATAAAAAGCTTTTACCATATTTGATTAATAATATATTATTATTATTATGGTTGTTTGTTTGCTTCCGGTTCGCATTTTTGTTTCCCTTATTTGTTTGTTTTGTTGAAATATTAATAATAATAATTATCGAAAAATATCGATTGATTATTGTTATTTTTTTTTTTTTGTAAGGGATGAGTGGGAATGGCTTAGAAGGATAAATTCAAGGCATAAATCGTTAGAAAATTTACAACAACAGGGTCAAGTTAAAGAAGTTAAAGAATGTGATTTGTTAAAAGGTACTGAACAACAGCAAATATTTGTCGAACAGGTAGCAAGTACGGCAAGGAAACTTTTTTCTTACCTTGATGTCAATATGGACGATGCAATGCTTCACAGGTTAATAAATAATTAAACTTTTTTTTTTGTTTGTTTTTCGACTCCTCCATGAATTTATTTTATTTTTTTTTTTTTGTTCAGACTGTACGACGTAGAAGTAGTTGATCTCAATTCGGATGTTTCGTTCCTAATTATAGTTCCTCCTGTAGAAACTTCTTGTTCCGTTCCCGGACAAAAAGACATTTTATTAGATCGCGGAGATTTAATGTCAATATCTTTACAAGTTTTCGAAATGGTACATTTGGGTACTTATCAACCGGAAGTTATATCAAGGTATTCAAGGTTGAGTTGTATATTGGAATTAGATTTAATATTAGCGCAACATAGTCACAGAGAGGTGAGTCAATTTTAATTTAATTGTTTAAATAATATTTAACGACATTTATAAAATAAATAAATAATTTTTTAAAGGCTTTTTCATCGTCCGAAGTTCAAATAACAAAAGACAGACTGAGAAAATTACAAGAATTACAAATACAATTAAATACCGTTTGGAAAAGCGTACGATGGATAATGGATTTGATAACGTTTGCACGGGATCGTACATCATCATCGTCATCATCATCATCATCATCCTCCTCCTCCTCCGGATCATCTTTGCAAATGAATTCAAAATCAACCGGAAATTTACCAAATAATTCTAGTAAAATAAGCAATATACAAACGAGCAGTCTTTCGACTGGTATTTCCAATTGTGGAATACAAAACGTGTCCGGAGTACCGATGAAACATCTTTTAGCACTCACAAGGAAAAAAGAAGGAAATAAAAAAAGTCCGAGCAGAATGACAAAATCAAAATGTTTAAAAGAGAATCATCATTATGTGAAATGTGAAAAACGAACACTATTACAAATTCCAGATTCTCCAAAAGATCCAAAAATATTAAAATCAAACGTAAGTCGTGGGTCATGGCCCGGTCCCGATGTTGAAAATTCTGGTACTTTATTAGATTCGAGCTTTAGTAAAAGTGAACAGCATCTGAACGTTTTAGGAGGTCCGAGTTACAATAGGGAATCAAGAATCGATAGTGCCTCCGATTGTATAAATAAAGAAAATTTATTACTAATTAACGGAACCAATTCATTTGATAAAAATAGAAAGATCAATATAAATCGTGACGTCATAACAAGTGAGTTGTAAAATTTTCCTTTGGTTATTCTTTCGTTTTCCTTACCCATAAATAAAATACGAATGAATCATTTTAAACATTTTTTTTCTTTTTTTTTTTTTTAGATCTGGGAAATCGTATGCCTTTTTCAAGAAGCGAAGACTATTTATTTCTAAATCAAGACTCAGGGTTATTTAAGCATCCGAACGATTATAAGATTAACAGAATTAGACCCAATACGACAACCACGAGCGTGAGTGCTACAAATTCTCCTTTACTTCCGCAACGAAATTCCGGAGAAACTCAATTTAATAGAATGAACGCCGGAAGTACGCTGTCGATAGCGCGAACAAACACTTCCGGTAGTTTACACAGCGTTTCTTCGGACGAAAGTACGGCGGCGGTTGTTTCACTTCCCGTGACGACTCCTTTTCGTTCGAACGTCGCGGGAACCACCGTGGGTACCGTGCAACATTCTGCGTCTTTGATGTCATTAGCCAAACCTAAAATACCCGAAACGGTTTCTTTAAACGCCTTAACCGAAATAAGCAATATAAAAAGATCAAACAATTCGGTCAATATAATGTCAAGTGGGTCAATTTTATCCGGTAATATAATTCCGGTTAACATAAATCAAAAACCGTTAAAAACAACCGCCAACATACCGGAAACAACGATATTAAATCAACACATATCGTCATCTTCGATGCCTACTTTTTCCAAACATTCAGGACACAATTTAACCGGATTGTCTGTGAATGTCAATACCATGCCTGGCATGACGCAAAAAATTCAATCACCCGTTAAGTCACCGATAATAGCTGTTTCACCCATCGATACCGTTCTCTCAGGTACACAAATAAATAAACGAACGAATCCTTCACTGCCCATTGATTCACTCGCTACTGATTTAGATTTGCTTCAATGTCCTCCATTTTCACTGGAGTCTGGAAATTCTAATTACGGGAGCTCCGTTGGACATAATTTATTGGGAACGACAAACGCGTTAAGTGATATGAAAAAATCAGAATCCGTTGTTGTTCCATCGGGTTTTACCACATCCGGATCGACTATTTCCACGGCTTTAGAAATCGAAGAAGATCCGGAAGATTTGGAAAACGGAGTTAAAATACCAACGCTATCATCTGGAGTATTACAGGCACGTTAATTAATAATTTTTTTTTTATCCTTCATAATAATAATAATAATTTTTTATTGTTGTTGTTAAATTTAGGTATACGCTGCTTACGAAACAGGCTTAGCAGCCGGTACGAGTTTAAAATTGCACGTCACACCGAGAACATCGGCGAGAGAAGTTGTCGATCTCGTCGTTAAGCAATTAAATATGGCTGTGTTATTAAAAGGAAGAGACGGACCCATATATTCAGCGGAAAAGTTGAAAAATTTTTGTCTCGTCGCCGTCATCGGAGCACGTGAAAGATGTTTAAGGGATGATTTTCGACCCCTGCAACTTCAAAACCCTTGGAAAAAGGGGAGGCTTTACGTGAGAGAAAAACAAGATGTTTTAGCTGCTTTAGAGCATAGTTCGCGACAATCTGCGTATCTGTGACTCAAAAAAAATGTCTCTCGCGAAACATTAATATAAATAAATTAATTAATTATTAATTATCATTTTAAACTTTTTGTCGCGCAAGATAAAACAAAAAAAAAATTAACGCAAACATCCGACGTAAATCCCTAATAATTTCCCGTCTAAATGATTTTTAATTTTTTAACAATTTTGCGACAAATTTCTCTTCTTTTGCAAAAAAAAAAAAACATTCCGTTAATACTATACATTCCAAACTTAAATATTATTATTATTATTATTTTCGCGGGGGGAAAAAGTGAGAGAGAGAGGGAGAGAAATTTAAAACGATTTCCAAATTTTATTTAAACAAAAAAAAAAAAAAGAGAAAAAGAAACAGAAAAATTGCCTTAAATTTTTTATTTATTTATTTATAAACAATTTATTTAATTTAATAAAAAATTAATAATAATAATAATAATAATAATAATAAATAAATAAATTTTTTTTTCTTTTTTTTTTTGTTGTTTTTGTTGCGTATTTGACGGCGTTGTATACGCATTAACGTAAATCATTTTTTTTTTTTAATAATATGTACATAAATATTTATTTTTTATAAATAAATAATTATTATGTTTAATATTAATAATAATAGTAATGAAATAAATTAAAATAGAAAAAGAACAAATGAAAAAAAAAAAAAAATTATTATTGCGCGTGCGTGTCTGTAAATAAATAAAAGGCGTGTGTGTGTGTTAACGTGCCATTAAATAATAATAATAATGATAATTATACCAAATTTTATATAAATAAATAAATAAATTTCATTTTCATTGTTACCTTTATTAATAATAATAATAATAAATTTAATTTTTCAATACGGTGGCCATATATATAAATTAAAATTTCATTTGTTCTTTTTATTAATAAAAAAAATTTGATATCGTGAACTATTATTATTATTTGTGTAATTAAATAATATTAAATTGTTAAATACATTCTAAATATATATATATATATATATTACCTATAAATATTTACATATATATATATTATAATTTTTTTTACATTCTCTCTTTCCTCTATATATATTATTAATTGTTATTAATTATTAATTTTAACGGGTTTTTTTCATTCATTTACAAAAATACATATACATAATAGTATAATTTTTTAAAGAATGTTTCCTATTTTATTTATTTATTTAATTGTTTATTATTTAATTACGTTAACGTGTAAAAATATGTCACGTGGTTTTTCTTACATCTTAACAAAGAGAGAATAGTAATAATAATAATAATATTAATAAAATTACGTGACAAAATTAATAAATTTAATTTTGATCGGTATTTCTTTCATTAAAAAAAAATTATTAATTGATAATCGATAGAATTATTAAACGAATCACGTTTTCAAATAAATAAATAAATAAATAATTTATTGATTTTATTGATTATTTATTTATTTATTTAATTAAAAATAATTCATTCATAATTTTTTTTTTTGCCATCGTGAATTTGTTGTCGTTGTTGACGTCATTTTTTTTTTTTTTAAATAATTTATCGTCTGCTTGAATTTGTTGTTGTTTTTTTTTTTTTTTTTAAATGTATACATACAAAATAAATAAATAACAGAAACGGCGGGAAAGGGGGACGCAAATAAATTTATTTAATTAAATAAAATAATAATAATAATGAATCCGATGGATGATTTTGAATCGTGTAATTTTTCTGATTGTTGTAAAAATTATTATCCTTCGTCCGAACAAAATTATTCAAAATTAAATACGGAAATATCAGGGTTTGTGTTTGTTAGTTTGTTTGTTTGTTACGTTCAATTTTACAAAAGAAACTATAATAATAATAATAATAATATTTATTTATTTATTTATTTGTTTATGAACAAGGTCAAGTGCATTTATTAATAAATTTTAATATGGAATTTTTTTTTTTATTTTCATGCTCGTGCGTTTATATATATGATTTATTATTATTATTATTATTTATTAAGTATGTATTAATGTCGTGGCATTTGCTCTTTTGTAATAAACATTACGAAACAAACAAATTTTTTTTTTTTATTGATTTATAATAAGAGCGACTCGAAGTGTAACTTTGTTTTTTTTAAACGGAATTTATTAATTAAACAATAATAATAATAATAATTTTTATTAGGGGTAAAAGAATAAAAAATCAAAGGGTTAACAGTCGTGGAAAAATTCAAATGAAATCATCAGAAAAACAAGAAAAACATTCTCAATACGACTATCGTTGTAATTGTTTCAAAAGGAAAATTAAAAAACATTCGGAAAGTGCGTCGTCATCATCATTTTCTACATTTTTTTTTTTTTTTAAATAAACCAATTAATTATTAAAAAAAAAATTTCAGATAAACAACGTAACGATCACGAAGAAGACAACAAATACGAAGACATTTTCATTAATAATAATAATAATAATTACGGTGATAAAAACGATTGGAAAATGAATCGGGGATGCGGCGAACCCATCGATGATATAAGAAAACATTTTAAATATAATAAAATACATAAAGAACAATTTATCGAAACGGAAGAAAAGGTTTGTACACTTATTATCATCATCATCATCATCATCATCATTATTATCATTATTATTAGTAATCAAAAAAAGTAACATTAATTTTTTTTTTAATTTTCAGGTTGATTTTTTATATAGATTATTTAAAAATTACAATAACGATAAATTATCCGGAGAAGGTGAAAATGATTTTCCATCGAACGTACCTGGAATAACATTTGGAGAAATATGGAAAATATTTAATTTAAATAAAAGGATAAATTCGATTGAATTAACCGTTGAAAAATTAACGTATCTTTTTAAAGAAGTTTTAAATGAAATTATTAAAAAAAAAGATGTTCAAAGCGATGCCGAAGAGACTGATAACAAAAAGTTCATATTTTTTTCCCCTTTGATTTATTATTATTATTATTATTATTATTATAACAACTGAAAATGGTTTTTCCTTTTTTTTCCAGCAACTGTTTATTAAATTTGGATAAATATACGGTGGGAAAATCGATTTTTGATAAAAATGATAATAAAAATGATTTAATACTTCCGTTAATGAAAAATTTTCTTAAAGTGGGTTCCATTGACGAAATGTATTCAAAAGTAATTATTTATTTATTTATTATTATTATTAATTGTTTAAATAATAATAATTATTTATTTTGTTATTTTTTTAGTTGGCGTTACTAACGAATGAAACAAATTCGAGAGAATCCATATTCGAATATAATTTATCTAAAAAAGAAATAAATGAAAATAATAAAAATAAAAAGGATTTGAATGCGGTTAATAAATTAAAAGAACAAATAAATGATATGTATAAAAAAAATATATGTAAAGTTTCTCATTTGGGGGAAAATCAAATTTACGATTGTAAAAAAGAAGAATCGAAAGAATTGTTTATGAAAAATACATTGGACGTAAGTGTAATAATTCGATTTCCCCCCTCGCTCCACCCAGCCCCCTTAACCCAGGAGAAATGCATTTCTCCTCACTAACCTCCCCACCCGAGAGTGTTGGGGGACTCAGTCAATGTTACTACCCAACTAAAACTCTTTCCTAAAGGGAGGGGCGCTCGCGGGAGTTTTAACTTGTATTTCAGGCTTAACCCCTCCTGAGCGAAAACCATCAGGTTCACACTTGAGGATGATCCTGATACTTCCCCTTTTTACCCTTCGAGAGACAATCCCGATCTGTTAAGAGATAAATGTCCGGGGTCGCGAATCCCGTTGATCTATCATCTGTTTTCCTTTCACATCGAAGCCCAGTTTCACTCCCTCGAACAAGGGTCGGCGCATCCCCGATGTTTCAAAAGGGTGTTAGGTCACTTATCTCCTTATTTAGGTACAGATCCGTTCTTGTTTTTGAACGAGTTGAAATTAAACTCCCACAACTCTCAACTCGGTGACTTTTGGGTCGATTTTTCCGCTTTTCAGGCTCGACCCGTGCTACCTCGGGCCAAGTTAAAGGTTAACCCCTAGCGGACGCCCAGTCAAAGTGGGAAATCCAATCCCAGAACCCAACCCCCCTAAAACATCCTCTTTACCTAGCCTCCGAATAATTGGACTACAGGAGTTCACCACCACTCCCGGATGCCCCTCTTACCTCTACCTTATTTTAAAATTAAAAATAAATATTTTATATGTCATCGATGATGATGATGATTAATTGATTTAGGTAATATCAGAACAAACTGAATTAGTTGTTAATGATGAAAAAATGGATTTGAATAATGATGATGACGACGACGTTAAAAATGATGAAAAAAAAATGTCGGATTTTATTAAGGAAAATAATAAAGAAATTGAAAAAAGTGATTTGAATACGACGCCATCGACGATGCATTTTATTTCACAGGTAATAACTAATAATAATAATAATAATAATAATAATTATTATTATTATAAATACGTCATAATTTTGTTTTTTATTGCAGGAGGAATCTTTGGTTAAATCAAGTATCGATAAAGTTCACTACGAAACATTAAACGATTGTCATAAAGAAAATATCGAAAAAGAAGAAGTTTTTATAAATGATAATAATGATAATAATAGCAATAATGAGAATGATAATAATAATGGAAATAGCGTAAATTTAACGGAATCGCCGGAAAAAAACGTGACGTACGAATAATAAATAAATAAATAAAAATTCATTATCCGGTTTTTATCATTAAATTTTTTAATTTTTAATTTTTTTTTTTATTTAAAGAAATTTAACAAGTTGCGTACCTGATAATAATAATAATGATGATAAAATAATTCGAAAAGGAAATTCTCAAAGTTGTTTAAAATATTCAAAATTATCAGATTTAAAAGAAGCATTTAAAAATTCGTTAGAACGTAATCGATCCTTTTATTTAAAACAAAATGATATAAAAAATAATAATAATAATAATAAAATGGATGATAAAATATCAGATTCTAATTATAAAAATAGGTAACATTTTATTTATTTATTTATTTATTAAAAAATTTATTTACAAAAAAAAAATTTTCAACGGATTTTTATAATATTGATCGAATGAAAAACATGGCTCCATATTTTTTTTTTGTTTTGTTTTTATATCTCACTTTTCGAACTATTTCGATATTTAAATTAATTTTTATATTTTTTCAGACCCCTAAATAAAAATAGTAATAATAATATAAAATGGAAAAAAAGAGAAAAATCAAATATACAATTATTATCGTTTGAATTACCGATAAGAAAAGCCAAAGAAAATTTGAAATTAAACGATGGTCGTCCATTAACGGCACCGAATTCATATCAAAAAAATACAAATTCAAAAAATTCATTTAAATTATCCGTTATACCGGAAATAAATAAAAAACAATTTAATAATAATAATAATAATTATGTAAAAAATGATAATAAAAATTTAGTACAAAAAAAATTTTTCGTTTAAACGTTATAAAAACACAATTTTTTTTCTATGTATTTAAAAATTTTTTTTTTTTTGTTTTTCTGATTCCATATATTGTCTATTATCATCATCATTATCATTAACGTAAAACTCACGCACGCACGCATTTATTTATTTAATTTTCGTCAATGAAAATTTACGTCAGTCACGTGATTTGATTTTTTTTCCTTTTAATTAACGTGTATTGAACGTGACGTGATCTCCTCCTGACGTTTCCTAACAAATATTTATTATCGATACGGATCAAAACAAAATGGATGTCATCGACATCCATGTTATAATAACGTAGGAGTTATAAATTATGTAATAGATTATTTTATACGAAAATATATGATGATAATAATAATAAATGATTTAATTTAAGTAAAAATTTCGGTTATAATACGGATATTCTTTGTCTTGAGGAGAGGGAAGGGGGGAGGGCTTAGGAGGTATAAAAATTTTTTGTAACGGTTTTAATAATAATAAATATATTATTATATTAATATAAAATTAAAAATTTGCAATTGTAAAAAAAGGAAATGAGCACAAATTTACGCACACACACACGTCTTCTTCTTGTGACGCATAAAAAAAGGTGTCGGATCATCATTTTAACATAGTTTTATAACCTGATAATTTTTTTTTTTTATATTATTGACCTTTTGATAAGAATAAATCACACGATTATTATCATTATTATTATTATTTCATTGACGTATTTTTTTTTTTATATAATACGTCTAGTACAAAATATTATTTACTATTAATATTATTTGTACTGTTTTAAATTATTATTATTAATAGTAATATTTTTATTAATTTTTTTTACGCGCTCTTCTACTTCAAAAAAAATGACCCTAATGATTATTATTATTATTATTATTTATCAAAATTTGTTTTTTTTTATAAAATGAACTTTAATAATCAATAAGTGCACTTTGCCTTAAAGCGATAAATAAACCCCCAACGAAGTTATCACAACCATTTTAATTTATTTCGTGTAGAGACAACAACATTGCATTTGATATTATTATTATTATTATTATTATTATTATCAGTGATAAGACTGTGTGTGACATATCAATACGGTTTTTTTTTTCTTGTTCTTTATTCGGTGAAACGAGGTAGAGCCGGAAAGTTTTATGTGAAATAGAGCCTGTGGTGGTGAAAAAGGAAAAAAATTGAAAAATTTATGGATTTCCGGTTTTATTATTAATTTCAAAAAGTTTAATAATAGTTAAAATTTATTAATAATGATGCTTACTGTAATTGAGGTAAGTTTTACGTCACGTTTTTTTTTTAAATAAATTTTTTATAACAAATTCTTATCACTTAGTGTTGTAATCATTTTTTTTTTTGCCAACATATGTAAAATACTATTATTTTTAAAAAGGGATTTTTTTTTTGAAAGTTATTAAACATTTTAATTTATTTTTTGGGCAAAAAAAAATTTAAGGTATTATAAAAGGTATAGAAAAAATTAATGTATATATTGTTTGATTTAATTAAGAAGAACAGGATAATTTTAATTAATTAACTTTCAAAATTCTATGAAAAGTTTAATTTTGTTAAATAATTAATTAATCGTTGCTGCTGACCTTCTTTATGATAATGATTATTGAGGAAAAAATTTGTTTTTTTTTTTTTTTTGCAAGATAATTAAAATGTTGAGAGTTGTTAAAAAAAAAAATTAATTTAATTAATAAATTTGATTGATTTCTTTGTAAAGGTAATTTTTAAGGTGAAAAAGATTCTAGGTTCATGATCAGGTTCATGATTTTGACATGACTTTGTGTGTATGTTATTTTTTTTTATTTTAAAAAGCACATTTTTATTAATTTAGGGAATTTTTATATTATTTTAAATAAATATTAGAATAACAGACTCATTGATTGTTTAGCAAAACTCGTTTTATTATTAAAGATAAGTCATTTATTATCATTATTTCAATAATTTTATAAAAACAAAACTATTTTGAATTTTGAAAAATAACGGACATTCGAGATTAAATGAGAGAACCATAGTTTTACAACAAGGTTTGCCAACTTTTAAAACTCAAATTTTTTTTTCTGCTAATAAAATTTTTCTTTCTGCTTTTAAAATTTCAACAATAATATTATTATTTTTTTTTTCTTTTTTTTTTTTACAAATTTTTATTTCATTACACAAAAATAAATAAATTAATTGATATTATTTGATATTAATCGAAAAAGTTTAAAGTATTTATGCCTTTTATTTAATTTAGTGATAGAAATTTTAATTAAAATTAATTAACGTACATTCATAAAAAATATTAACATGTAAATGAAGTATTATAAAGTATTTAATTTTTGTATAAAATTTTGTACATAAATTTTTTTTTTTCGTGTGAAAATGATAATATCAAAATGAGATTTAAACGTTCGTGACCTTGTCATAAAAAAAATAAATTAAATATATAATTTTTGAAAATTAAATGTCAGAGTTTCAAAGTGAAACTATAGACGAGGAATATTCTATTATTTTGGGTTGGAATAAACTTGTAGAAGTATGATTTGGTGTGTTAAACCTTATTTTTTTAATAAAAATTCATATCATGTAATTATTTTTTAAATTAAATCTTTACAGAATCCAGTTTTTAAATCCTTTGCTGCTGGAGCCATATCTGGAACATGTTCTACTGTTATATTCCAACCCTTGGATTTAGTTAAGACTCGATTACAGAATACGAATGTTGGGTAAGACACTTTCATTGATTACTTATTTATTTATTTCAATAAATAAATTATATTATTTAATTTCTTTCATGTTTTTTTTTACAGGCCTAAAATATCTAATGTACAAAATGAAGGAGCATTTTCAATAGTTTTAAATATTCTTCAACATGAAAAATTATCTGGATTATGGAGAGGAATGACACCTGTAAATAATATTTTTATTTTATGACATTTTTTTTTGAACATGAGGTTATTGAGAATTATTTTTCAGTTTGTCATTTTATTTTTTTATTGTAGTCTTTGGTTAGATGTGTGCCAGGAGTAGGAATTTATTTTTCAACACTTCATGAACTTAAATCGAAATGGATTTCGCATACTGGAAATCTATCATTAAATCCTTTAGAAGCCATCATATTAGGAATTTCTGCTAGATCTGTTAGTGGAATTTGTTTGATGCCTTTTACTGTTATAAAAACAAGATATGAAGTAAGTGCTTTTTTTGTAAATATGATTACATTTGGTTAATAAATTCTACATATTCATTAATTGTATTATATTGAATAATTTTAGAGTGGAATCTACACTTATAATGGAATGTTAAGTGCATTAAATGTTATTTATAAAGGAGAAGGACTTAGGGGATTGTGTAGAGGATTAGTACCGACTTTATTTAGAGATGCACCATTTTCTGGATTGTATTTAATGTTTTACACTCAAACGAAACAAGCTTTACCTGAAAGTAAGATCTCCTCATTCTTTAAGACACATTCTAAAAAAAAAAAAAAAAAATATATAAAATTTAACAAATAATAATTTTACTTTAGAGTGGCTTGATGGAAATACAGCCTCACCATTGCATTTTACTTGTGGTATTATAGCAGGGATATTAGCATCTCTAGTCACTCAGCCGGCTGATGTAATTAAAACTAAAATGCAACTTTATCCAGGAGAATTTAGCAGTGTTAAATCTGTTATAATCTACTTGCAAAAGGTGAGTAACAATAATTTTTACAGACTTTTAATATTTCAATAAACATAATAAAGTTAATAAAAATTTGAAAAATACTAATGATAAAATTATTGTTTTATTAGAGGGATGGAGTGTCTGGATATTTCAAAGGCTTGGTACCGAGAATGCTTAGGAGAACACTTATGTCAGCTATGGCATGGACAATTTACGAGAGGATAACTCAAAAATTTGGACTTAAATAAAAAAAATTAAAAATTTAATTATTCATCGACTGTTTGAAAAAAAAAATTTAAACTAAATTTTAATTTTGAAAATTCATTCAAATTATTAATTCAAAATATTTAATCTGTTCAAGTAATTTAAATTTATAAAAAAACACATATAAAAATATCGCGTCCAAATTAATTTACTTCTTATTAATGCAATAATAGTTTATTTATTTGAAAAAAAATTCATTAAAATGAATTTATTTAAATTAATATTTATTAATTTGTTTTAATGATTATTAATTAATTTGAAACGACTCAGGTTACCACTTTAATTGTGATAAATGATAAATTGAATTCGGTTATTAATTCGGATTTTATTAAATTCATGTTTATTCTAAAAAGTATTTTTTAAAAAAGTATTCACTATAATTATTATTATTATTATTATTATCATGTTGTCAGTTATGAAATATTTTATTGAGAGAAAAGACTGTTTAATCATTTACTTTTTTATTTATTAACTGGAGATCGATCATTTTTCTTTTCTTTTTTTTTTAAACATTCATTTTAACTCATCGAAACGATAATAGTAGTTTTTTTTTTTTTTTTCGAATTTATAATATATTTAAAATAATAATTTATTAATCATAATCATTTTGAATTTGTTATCTAATATTGTTTTGTTTAAATGTTCGAAAATAGGAAAATTAAATAAAATTTTCGTTTTATTTATCGAACAAAAAATATAAAAAAAAACAAAAAGTTTTTTTTGTGCCTTTAAAAAAAAAAATTTAATTTATTTAAAAATATGTAATAATATAAATATAATATTATTTATTTTAAATTTTATCATTTTTTTTTGTTAACCAAGGAGAAATGCATTTCGCATGCATCTTTTCCTCAGAACTAATTCAATACTTAATTTTCCTACTATTTCCCCATTTCATAATTTTCGCTCATGTATTTTTCATCCTTAATTTATGCACAGTATATAAATTACAATTACAGACTTATAAGTAATCGATTTTTTTCTAATCTTAATTGAAATTTTGCAGTAACATAAGATCCGAGGAGGTATAAAGTAAAAAAAAATGCAACGTTGGGTTCCCGCAAAAATAAAATGTCACATTTAAAATAAAACGTAAACATTGGATTGCCGCTTAAAATCGTAATTTTACATTAAAAATATTCCAAAATTTGTTCAAATATATCAGGCAAACTTAAAAAAATGGAGGTGTAAAAAAAAAGACACAATTAATGGATTCACACTTAAAATCAGGAGCATAAATAAAAAACAAATAGTATAAAAAACTAATTTTATTATAATAAAATAGAATAAATTACAAAACTTTTGATACATACAATTTATAATAAATTGTTAGAATTAAATAAGTTGACATGACGTAAACGCATGTCAACATATTTAATTCTAATTATTATTATTATTGACACACAAAATATTATATTTAATTGCTATTAAACGCTATACATACAAATTTCTGTTCAGTTTCATCACGCTCCCGAGTTCCCGACTCACCCATTTCCGCTCTGGACGTCGAGAGAGATTTCTCTTGCGGGTCAATGACATTTCTCCCGGGGCTGCTGTTTAAATGGGAAAAAAAAAAAAAAATGAAAGGTAAAAAAGGAAAAGAAAAAGT